CAAACTGGTAACTGTTCCAAGAAATAAAAACGGAATAAGCAAAAAAGGCAATTTTTTTCAGTAGCTAAAGATCATTGTATGTTACACTACCAGTATGTTGGTAAAAGCATTCAGAAAATTCATGCAAGTATACCATCATAATAAGAGATGGTTGATCCAAAATCTCATATACACCCATACTCCAGAAACTAGAAAGATTTAAGATTACAGTGGCAACAAAATAGCCAGTTCAAAATTTGAAACCATAATTGACTATGTTTCCCGCCTAGAGCTCCGAGGACAAGTAGCTGAAGCATCCTCTTTCTCATTCTCCTCTCTCTCAGCACTGGTTTCTGCTGTTGCGTCTGTTTCAGAAGCAGTTTCTGTGCTCTTGGTTTCTGAAGTTGGTTTTGCTGATGCCTGCATGAGGAGAATATTTACAAATGTTGAAGTCTAATAATAAGTTGTTAAATAGCAAACAAATTGTATGGGGTATCGTAAGAGAGTGAATAACTTACCACAGGCCTCTTCCCTGCAAAGAGCATCCTAAGGAAGACGGTAAGAATGACAACCGCAACGGATACAAGGACACCGATGGTCAAGGTGGCCTGTTTCTCTCCCTTCTCAATGAGATCCTACAAACAAGAGTAAAAATTTCAGATACCAACACTTCTAGAACAGTGCTTGAGAGAAACTACGGCAACAGACGAGCAAGTCTCTAGTTTTCAAGTCTTCATTATATTGTGTTTATCCAATGATAGCCATTAAAGCAACGATACTTTCTCAGTCTCTATTCTCTATCTCCCTCTTATATACAATGTATTAATCAGGACACAGATTTCAAATTATCAGGATAAACGTTTCGAAGATTTATCAAGATGGATAGAACTACACATTTCCAGAGTAGATAGCGTCCATAATGAAGTAAATTCCTGGTTAAGAATGAAACTACATATCAATAGGTAGTACAAAGAAAATACAACAGAACACAAATTTGTTAGTCACATCCGATCTATGTACTGCATGAGAACTGACGACGCTTATATATTCTTTTATACAAATGGGAGAAACAAAGAGCCACTGTTCATGCTACAGTAAATGCTACATTAGATTTACTGTAGCAGTATTAACGTAGCAGCTGAGAAATTTAAAAGACACTGTAGCAGATCGGTTACTGTAGCAGCTCGGGAATGGTACTGTAGCAGGCGAGTTACTGTAGCACCCCTGAAAATTCAAACCGGGAGAGTTTAAAAACGGCGGGAACACTGTAGCAAAAAAAAAAAAAAAAAAAAAAGAAAAAAAAAAAAAAAAAAACACCGTGCTGCGCACGGGCTGCACACTAGTAATGTTCTATTGATGAAATTTTTATCAGTTTTCTGTTATATATCACGTATCTGTGAGGCTGTGTTTAGTTTGAGAGAAAATAGTGGAAAATGAAAGGAAATGTAAAGAGAAAAGAAAAAGGAAAGAAAATAATATTCTTTTTGTTGTTTGGATAGGAAGAGAATTCAAAAGAAAATTGGAAGGAAAATAATTACAGTTTAATAAAGCAAGGTAGAAACTACAATTGACTTATGTTATATATAATACATGATCAATACAGTTATCAACTTTATATATGTAGTGACATGAGTAAAAATTCTATTAGTCTATATAAGATTTTTTTGGAGCTTAACCTCTATATGATTAACTTTTAGTTTGTTATTTAAGGCTATGTTTGGTTTGAGGGAAAGGGAGAGAAAGGAAAGTAAAGTGTGAGAGAAAGTAGGTTTCTGTTGTTTGTTTTGCAAGAAAACAAAAATGGGAAAGGAAATAAATTTCACTGCAGAAAAATGGGTATATATTTTTTCTTTCTCCCTTTCTCTCCGCTGCCCTAGTGAAAACGAGGGAGAGCGACGGAAACGTTCGCCCAACGCTGACCCCGATCTCTCCTTGTCGCCTTGCTCGTCGCCTCCAGAGATCCTCGTCTCCTTGCTCGTCGCCTCATCTCTCTCTCTCTCTCTCTCTCTCTCTCTCTCTCTCTCTCTCTCTCTCTCTCTCTCTCTCTCTCAAACCCTAGTTCGACGCCGACCAAACTAGGGTTTCTCCAATCGAGCTCTCGTCAGCTTGAGATCGCGAACGTTCCCTCGCTCTTCTATGGATCGTTCATCGCCGATCGCGTAACATGGGGTAAGATCCAAAGGTAAGTTTCAATTCGAGCTTGTAATTTATTTTTAATATGGATTTTGTTCTGTGGATGCTTGGTTGGAGTTAATCTGAAGCGATGAGTCGTTTGACGTTATTTTTAATTTATTTACAGTAACACAGTACGATTCATTGTTTGAATTGATGTTTTCGTTTGGTTTACTCACAATTAGGTTGTCTTTGGTGATATCTTTGATCTTCTCGGAACCGCTCCAGATTCAACTGCAGGTTTCTCTTGGATCTCTCTGTCAACATCAATCCAAATTCATCCAAGGTAAATTTTGCTCATATTTTTGTTGGTTTTGAAGTTTAATTTGTTGGTGATATCTTTACTCATATTTTTGGAAATGGGTAAACGAAAATGGGCTTGTGTGTGTGTTTATAAGCTGCCATTTGAAATTTGTATATGGGATTTTGAGAATCCTGCAATCTTATGGGGTGAGTTCTTAGTCATGCCAAATCTGGTAGAATTGATTTATAGGAAACATTGTGCGGTCAATCCTTTGCCTAATAATTTTTTATTTATGGTTTCTTCAACAAATTGATCCTGTTGACACATAATTAGTAGGGTGAAAACAGGGTTGAAAATGGGCTCCCCTTTTGTTAGTGAACAGGTCCTTGCTCACTAGACTCTTGATTCTACTAATTTATTTTAAGAAAATCTGGATGTACAAATTGAGATTATCTATTTCATGTGCCCGCGCTAAGGAGGTTTCTGTAATAGCTCATATCTATCACACACTGAAGTCGTAATTATTTTCAATTTGTTTCTTTGTTGTTAATGAAAGTTCCAGTTGTCACGCAGCTAATTATAATCACAATTTTCAGATATGCTAAACTATCAGAATCGCGAAATTGGATTTCACTGTTAGTATTAATCAAATATTTTTGGCTATTCCCTCTGAATGTTGGCTACTTTTCTTGCAGTGCATCATGGCTTATTTGCTTTGGTAGTTCGATTACAGTAATTTTTTGTACTTGTGTTTTTTTCTTTATATTCGATTTACTCTCTGTTAAGATTTCTTGAGCGGTGTTTCTTCCATTTGTTCCCTTTTCATTTTCAGATGTTTGTATCCAGAATGATTGATTTCTATTGTACATTCTCATATAGTGTGAGTTTTACACTTTTGGGCATTCAAGTTTCTATCCATGTTTATGCAGACTAATCTATAGCCACAGAAGCTTATGGTTTATTCTCATATATTTAATCTGTAGCCACAAAAACTTATGACCAGGACTCATAATCGCCTACTTAACAATTTGATTACCCATACTCTATTAATTTAGTTAGATTAACAACATGGACATATCAGCTATAAATGGTTAGTCGAAGGTTTCAGTTTAATATTTTCATGATTGTTGGTTATGATTGTGACGTGCTTACTATAGAAAGTGTTTGAATTTGTAGACAAAAGAAGATGAATAAGCTATACAAAGGAAAAAGATAAAATATTCAGTAGGGATTGTGGCTGCATATGTAGCATATGCATGTGCTATTATGACAACTAATATCTACCAAGTGGAGTATATAAATAGATCAATCTTAGCTAAAAAAGATGAACATAAGAACTTATGGAGCGACTAACTCAACAAAGTGATAGAGATTGTCGTGAACAACTACGCATAGGAGTTAATGCTTTTGCTAGATTGTGTCAGTTGCTTAGGGAGACGAGATGTCTTTATGATAATAGACGCAGTTCTGTAGAGGAACAAGTTGCTAAGTTCCTTCAAATTCTTTCTCACAACTAGAAGAATCGAGCAGTAAAGTTCTATTTTATGCGTTCGGGGGAGACGGTTAGCCGCCACTTTCACAAAGTATTAGAAGCATTACTATCGCTTGAGGATCAATTTATTAAACAACCAGATGGCTTCGAAGTTCCACTAGAAATTTAGACAAATCATAGATTCTGGCCCTATTTCAAGGTAAAATATAAAAATTTTGTAATAAATATTACATAATAATAATAATAGTCAAGTTGCTAATCACTTTGTTAATCTATTATAGAATTGTATTGGTACAATTGATGGATCTGATTTTCGAGTGAAAGTGGCAAAAGAAGATACAAGAATGTATCGAGGCCGAAAAGAATTTCCAACTCAAAATGTGCTTGCCGCTTGCACCTTTGACTTGAAATTCACATATGTTCTAGCTGGTTGGGAAGGGTCTGCTTCAGATTCGCGGGTGTTGAATAATGTATTAATACGACAAGATAATATTTGTTCCTCAAGGTGACAACTCTTAGGTCCAATCATTTTCAAGATCAGATAAGACCTTGTTTATATTATTTGTTCCTCAAGGTGACAACTCTTAGGTCCAATCATTTTCAAGATCAGATAAGACCTTGTTTATATAAACACATTTTAACCGTTAAATTTTGTTCAATTTTAGGAAAATATGATTTAGTAGATGGTGGTTTTATGCTGAGGCAGGGATTCCTTACACCATTTAGGAGCACACATTATCACCTCAAGGAATATTCAACAAGACAACCTGAAAGTCCTCGTGAAGTGTATAACCATCGTCACTCTTCACTGCGAAATGCAATTGAGCGTGCTTTTGGACTCTTGAAGAAGTGGTTTCCAATATTGGGTAGTGGAACAGAACCTCATTACCCAATTGAAACATAAAAAGATATCATTTATGCATGTACTATCCTACATAATTTTCTAATGGGTGTTGATCCTGACGAGGGGTTTCTTGAACAAGTTGATCAGGAAGTTTTGAACCAGATGATAGATGTTGAAGAAGCTCCTGTAAATGATAATGAAGAGTATAGACGAGGAGAGATTCTAAGGCAACAAATAGCCGATGATATGTGGAGAGATTATTAGAAATATTTTCATTCTTCAAATAATAAGTAAATGTGGTTTATTTGCTGTTTGTGTACCTGTGAAAACCCCGTCTGATTTTCAGAGTATTTTCTAAGGTCTTCTATTCCTTTTTTATTAAGTAATGACTTAAAAAAATCCATATTCAGGTGAATTTCCAAACAAGCTTTATTGTCAATCTCTAGGAAAGAATGTCCAAACAAGCTTTATTGTCTCTCTGTAAATAGGAGATCGACTTGCATACCCAAGGTTAGTAGCTTTGGCTACAGCTCAGGCTTTGATGGTAATCAGTCACTTGGTCTTCCCTATGGCGTGGCCTGGGAACAATGTACAATGGTATGCAGCTGCTTGGGCTTGGATATGGTGATCACTAGTCAATTTCGCATACGAATACAAAACATTGTACAATGGTATGCAGCCGCTTGGGCTTGGGGTTTCGTTTTTTCGGTGATCCTTTTTTTAATTATTAGATGCTGTTGTTTCCTCTTAATTAGCTCGTTTGTTTGTCCTACCTGTTTAATGTTTTTTTAGGAGTATTTGGTACCTTGTTGTTTGATACTAATCTTTTAAGTAATATTGCATATTAACAAGCAGGCCGCTCAGATGGATTCACAACATGGAA